TCCTGGGATTATTTTGATCCTTATGATGAGTGGTTTATGTCTGTATACTGCTTATTGTCTTCTACTTGTACATAAGCACGATGGTAAAAGAATATTTGTTTGTCTGAATGCATTCAGAAGGGCTGTAACAATGTGCTTACAATCATTTAATGTTTTAGGTGGAGACAAAGGCATAGAAGTAATTCAACTATGTCAAATATATCTTAATAAATGGGCAAAATATATTGCCAAAACTTTTAGTATTGCAGTTCTATTAGGTGCAACTATTACTTATTGGGTATTGATGTCCAATTTTTTGTATAATTCTGTAAATTTTATATATGGTAAGTATAAAATTTTTATTTTTTACTTAATTTAAGGTTTATTATATACTATGGGAAGTGTTATTTATTTTCATTATAGTATTGTGCCCAAGGAAAGCAGTATATAATAACACAAACTCTGCAATTCATAATTATACCTATAACTCTTTGGACCCAATTTGGGACCTATATAAAACAGTTCCCATTTTTCTTGGCTTATTAATATTTCCATTTTTGAATTTTAATAGTGCCACCTTTTTTACAAAATTTAATTCTCTCGGTAATTACAATACATCTGTTTTTTTCTTTTTATAATTATATTGCATGCAAATATCTGCAAAGTTAACATTTGTTTTAGGTCACAACATGATTTTGATCTATAAGTTTATATTTTATTTTATAAAATTATGAAAACTTAATTTATCTCATAGGAACCATGTCAATCATGTATTTGATTATCTTTGTCTTGGTTAAATCATCATCATGGGGCATTAATATGAGTGAGACAGAATGGAAAACAAGTTGGACATTAAAATCTTCATTTCCTGCACTTTCAGGAATGTTAGCACTGTCATTTTTTATCCACAACATTATAATTACCATAATGCAAAACAATCGTGATCAAAGTAAAAATGTAAGTAGTTATTTTTTTCATAGACTCAACTGTGTTACTGAAAAGTTCTATCCTTTGGTTACAGGGAAGAGACCTTTCAATAGCATATCTTCTTGTTACTCTAACTTACATCATAGTGGGTGTAGTATTTTATATTTGCTTCCCATTAAGTAAATCGTGCATTGAAGATGTAAGTAAAATATAAAATAGAATTACAAAATATACTAAGTCCTAGAAGAGAATAGAATATAAAATAAGAGTTGCTTTTCTCTTACAGAATTTATTGAATAATTTTCAAAAGTGGAGTGGCCTAACAGTAGGTGCTCGAATTGTTCTTCTTTTTCAATTATTGACAGTTTATCCATTACTTGCATACATGTTACGTGTTCAGTTGCTTGCATCAATATGTAAAACATTTAACACAGGCTGTGTTATTGTAGTTAATGTTATTTTGGTATCTGTATGTATTCTGTTTGCAGTATTTGTACCATATATTGGTACAATAATACGATATACTGGTGCTTTTAGTGGTTTTATTTATGTATTTACTTTACCAAGTTTATTATATTTAGTAATTTTGAAACAACAACAAAAATTATCAATATTTTCTGCACTTTTGCACATAAGTATACCACTATTTGGATTTTTAAATCTAGTGGCCCAATTTTTTATTACAGAGTCATAAATGTATTCAACTTCAAATTTTAAAAATGCTTCAAAATGTACAATTTTGTTCCTAATATTATAGTACAATCAAAGGACAAATGATTATATGTTATTTGTGAAGAGGAATGTGTGAATGAATATAATCGTGCTAGTATGAATGTAAAATGAGCAAATTGATCTAATATATTAATAGGAATACATAGATGCTAAAATATAAATTATCGATTATTT